CCACGGCGGATACGACGAATTGGAGTCGACACACTCACATTCGTTGTCACATGGTCTTTGATGTTAAAAGCGACTTTACAAGGAAGGCACGTCTGGTTGCTGGGGGGCATATGACCGATCCACCTTCGTCCATCACCTACGCCAGCGTTGTCAGTCGAGAGAGTGTACGACTGGCCTTCTTGATTGCAGCCCTGAACGATCTGGACATACTGGCCGCTGATATTGGCAACGCATATTTGAATGCCCCAGTTCGAGAGAAGATCTTTATCACATGCGGTAAGGAATTTGGCCATTTGAGGGACGCAAGGCAAAGGTCGTCAAGGCCCTGTATGGCCTCAAATCAAGTGGAGCAGCATGGAGGGCCCACTTAGCTGATGTTCTGCGAGACAACCTGGGGTTCACCTCTTGTAAGGCAGACAATGATGTCTGGTTTCGTGCCGCCACCAGGCCTGATGGAAGGGAATACTATGAGTATATCTTGGTATACACAGACGATCTCCTTTGCCTGTCAACTAACCCAAATACCTACTCTGCTACCTGGATCAGCATTTCCTGCTGAAGCCAGGATCCCTGGGAAAGCCAACTCAGTATCTTGGAGCTTCAGTCAAGGAGTACAATGTTCCTGGCGTTGACAAACCATGTTGGTCAATGGGATCTGAACAGTATGTCAAGGAGGCTGTCAGAAATGTGGAGACATGCTCGAGCAACGTGGGAAGAGCTCAAGTCAAAAGCAACTTCAGTGTTACCGAGCAATTACACCCCGGAGTTGGATGTTTCAAACCTTGTGATGACGAGTGACAAATTACTTTCAACAGAAGATTGGAGTGCTACGATGGCCGTGGAACTCGGGAGATTGACATCTGCACCGAGTTTTCAATCATGGCTTCTACTGTGCAGCCCCACGAGTTGGCACTGGACGCTGTGTTTCATATCTTGGCATATCTCAAGCACACAGTCGTTCTCACCTTTTTTTTGATCCTTCCTATGTAATCATGTGGAACCAGAGCGACCTGACTGGAGTGATTCTATGCCGATGCGAAAGAGCTTTTGCCCAGACATGCCGAAGCCTCCCGGCAAACCAATCCAAATCACCATGTTTTGTGGATTCGACCATGCTGGGGACAAGGTGACAGTCGTTCGCGTACTGGTGTGCTGTCTTTGCTAACATTTCTCCAATTATTTGTATAGCAAGAGCAGGGCTCCATTGAAACTTCCTCCTTTGGATCTGATTTCGCGGCGATGAAGGTTGAATCGAGATCGTGGAGGCTTGCGGTACAAGCTCAGAATGATGGGAGTTCCCCTTGAGCCCGGCTCAGTCAAGCGGACAACATGTCGTGATCAAGAACTCAGATCCCGGATCTACTTTGAAGAAAAAGAGCACTCGGTCGCATACCACTATGTCCGTGAAAGGTCGCTCAGGATGGCAAACATCACTTATGAGAACACAGAGAGCAATTTGGCCGATATGTTGACGAAGATCCAGAACGGGCCGGGCAGCGACTGGTTTCGAAAGTCCTATCTAACAATCTGCAAAAAGGCAACATGACCATAGGGTGGGCCGTTTGGTGAACGGCAGGTCTGAGCCTCCAAGGGGCCATGCCCCAAGGTACATCCTGTTTCAGACTTCCGAAGTCTGTTTTCCCATGTCAAGTGCAATCTAGCGTGAGATAGATCCCCTCTAGCTTGAGGGGACCGAAAATGACCTGTGGTAGCGATTTATGACTATCCAGTTACCAGATTACCAGATTACTAAAATCAACCACAACCACAACAACCAAGTAGTAACACAACACTATAGCAACCTCTTTATCAACACCACCATCAGCCTTTTTCGGATTCCTGGTGGTAGACTAGCTGGAGCAACTCTGGAGATCTTCTTCCAACTTCCAACACAGATGACTCTAGGACTTGGGAGCCCTTGTGTCACGCTGATGGTTCGAAACCATGTTCTGCTACGCTGTTCTGCTGGTTCGCGGTGCCTCGGAAAACTTGAGGCTTTTCCACACACAATTTTTTGATCTACAATTCAGCAAAGAGTCAAAATATATTTTCGGATCAGGCACTCTGACTTCAACCGATACAGGATGATGGCAAGCACCAAGAATAGCTACTACGACCTTTCCCTCGTTACCGCAACGATGGCTTCCTCGGCCATAAAGAATGCAGACCAGAAACTGCGGAATCCAGTTCAGACTGGCAATCCTTTGAAGGACTGTCTCGAGGAGGCCCTGGTGCGAGCAGAAACGATGGAGCTGGATGAAAAGTCTGCTGAAGACAGGTCATTCGAACGTTCAGTTTCAAAGTCTGATTTGGAGCATTTTAGGAAACGATCCCGACGCCGAAGCAGTCGTCGAAGAGATGGCAACCGGCATACTGCTGCTGCTTTGGAGCAACGGCCCAAGCCCGCCTTGAAGGGAATTCTCAAGAGACACTCGATGGATACTACTGTTGGGGCTCCTTGTAACGAGCTCAATGCAACTCGGCGTCCCTCCAGAAGCGTGAGCTTCTCAGACTTGCAGCTCAGTCGTTGGGACAGTCAAGGGTCCAAGCATAGCTCAAAGTCGTTGAAGCATCCTTCAAGATCTTCCAAGGCCACGCCCAAGGGAAACTACTGCTGGGACAAAGCACAGACACAAGATGCCCCAACTAACAGTTTGGCCGTGTTCAGACAAGAACTCAGGAAAGAACCACGACATGCACCCAGCAAGCCCCGTCGAAGGGGCAGCTTCGCGAAAGGTGGTGTCACAGGCACCAATGTGTTTGAAGCATCTGTCAAGGAGTTTCAGTCAGTTTTCGTAAGTGGCGTCCATTAGCAATCGCAATAAAGAAGCAACTCTAGAGACTACATCATAAAAAAATCTAGATAGTTTGACTATCACTTAGTGTCGTGGCTACTGTTCTTGTGAGATTATCTATCTTCACAGCTCGGAAAGCATCATGCAGGAGTGAGAGAAGGATTGGCACTGGCCTTCTTTCAATCTTCATACGCCTTTGCCTCGGTTGATGCTGCTGGATATTGCTGCTGGAATTGAGGACTGCACATGGAGTGTATCCATCAGTCAAAGTGTGAAGGGGAGTTACTATGGATTAGAGAGAGCTAAGATCAGTCGAAGCAAGTACGGTAGCATGCAGCAAACTCTACAAGCCAGCCAGGGCGCCCCCGGGAAATTATTCGATGTCTGCAGTAAACCCCGTGGCTTCTTATTCGATTGTCTAACTTTAATCGATGAAGACTTTCGAATACCGCACAGCTCTAACGGCTCAAAACTAAAAGGTATCTTTGCCGAAGATATCATTGCTCTTGCCAGATTCTGATGACCATCCCCTCTCTCTGGCAATGCAAACAACAATGGCAACGTCGGTTAGCCAGAGCTTATTTTGCAGCGTACTGCTACGTCGATTCTTTCGTTTACCGGTATCCTTGCAAAGACCTGACTCATTGATTGTGCTTCCAAGATGATGGAAAGTTTAGGCTTTAGCGTTCTTTTTCCAGAAGACCAAGCTGGTCAAGCGATTCGTCGAAAGCAGAACATGCTGCTGAGTCCAGTGGATTGCGTGGCGCCAGTCGATAACGACGACAAGACAAAGTTTGCCACTACCCCAAGTCTCATGAAGCAGTCTGCTACCTCTCGATTGAAGGCTCTCCCAGGAAGAATCATCAAGAAGAAAAGTGACTAGCGGGACGGGTGGAGACGAGACAAGTGACCTAAAACCCTGCGAGCTGCGAGAGGCGATCTCAAGCGCCCTGAAAGAAAAATCCATACACAATAGTAGATAAGCTGCTTCAAGGTCAAAGTACGTAAACGGAAAGATGTACATGAAACAGTGGTCTCTACTATAGATTATTGATAGTCTCGCCTGCACACGCACTTGCAAAGAATTCTCTCCTGGATCTACTTATTTCAAAGGTCGTTGCGGGCGGTGGTCCATATCACCCAAGCATTGGAACTTGGTGATCAGGTCAATCGAGTTTGCTACCTTGCCATTGGTACGCCACATGAACTGTGCCTTGGATCAATGTTACCCCAAGTCAAGCTCGAGCTCCGCTATGTCACACACCGCAGTCGTTTCTTGGTCTGGACAAGTGAAGCTTAGACAACATTACTTCGCTTCTTTGATGGCTCGTAATCACTTTCTCTGCTACTGCTGGGGTTGATGGAAGGGCTGGTAGTGCCACTGTTGCCACCGGATGATGATGATGTTTCATTGTCCAGAACAAAAGAGATAATAGTGGCGCTTGCGGCACTTTTGCACAATCTACATGTCCTCCATGGGCGTCGCAGAAGTCAAGGACAATTGAGAATAGTAGTGAGAAAACTCTGTCGGTATCTTTTCTTGAATGGCATTAAGGAGTGCCGCCATGGCAATGTTTGAAGGTCGGCGACGAACAAACTGATAATCCAGAACCGCCAACTCAACATAGAAGGTTGCCAAGTCTAAAATGGCAGCCTGATACGACTCTCCTTCGCGGTGTAACAGGAGCATGTAGCTATTCAGAAAGACAACAGATGTAGGTGGGTGGACCAGCCAGCCGAGTTGGAACAGAATATCCATTTCCATCTGAGCAATCAGTGATTTTTCAACCCCTCGGCCCAATTTGCTCATGGAATCGATGGAGAGAGAGATAGCCTCCGGCTGGCTGTCCTTGATTTGAGGCACCCCCCTGTGCATGGCCAACGTGGACTGCGATCGATCGTGTAAACTCCACGACGCGGTGACTGGCTCAACAAAACAAACAAAAACAACCGCATACGCAAAGCACGACCATGAGCGACGATCTAGCTCGAATTCCTTCTCCTTTTGACAAGCCACCTGTCTCTCGGCGTAGACGCCACAGTCCCAATGGCGTGAACGAAAAAGCCATCACCTTGGAGCGACCCAATGCAACAATCGTTGGTAGTGGTCGTGTTTTCCTGGATGATAGAAACGCGGTTTCCGATGCTTTGGTTGACGAAATTCGCCACAAAACGTTTTTGCTTTCTTCGACCTTCCTCTTGGAAGCCCAATATGGCATGAGGGAAGAAGTCAAGCTGCTTGGACAAGTTGGTTTCATTCGAAAGAATGCCCTTCCTGATTCTCCGGATAACAAACGAAGGCGTACGGATGGAGATGAGCGCAATGTTCGGATGTATAAACGGTACGCAGTGGAGCCTGTCACAGCAAGACACAACATTAAGAATCAGATGTTGGAGAGCGAACGATCGGGCGAACGTTTGGCAGCGGAATTTGACCACGCTAAATATACCAGTCCGGAGGACAACGCTGTCGAAAGGTTGGGGTTTCCCGATGTTGGGAGTGCCCCCGTTGACCATGTCGTGGTCCGCAGGGAGGATGCCACCAGCGATTCAATTGTGTGGGATAGCATTGACACGACAAAGGGTACTGAAATCGGCAGTGTGTCTAGTCCCCATGCATTGACAAAATCGATTCGCTCTTTCCCCCGAGCTCGGGACTACAGGTCGTACACGCTCGCCGCAGGTCACAAGATTGGGATCGCTGTTTACCGCTTTTGGGATGAATATTCCAATGGTTGACGCGCAGTTCACAGGCACAAGAGCCGGAATGGGAGAAGAAAGGTCCTGCACTCTTTGGTGAGAAATGCAGACCTGCTATATACACGGGAGAGATTGTACATGTTTCTGAACAAGATGGCAAAAGCTTTGTGCACAACATCAATGCCTTCAAGGGTTGTTCTGGAGCGATCATCTTCCTTCTGGACCAGAACCAGCCCGATTCCATTGCACAGGAGACCTCTCCTGGCGGGAGCTTATATGGTGCTGCCATTGCTGTTCACGTGGGCTCGCCTGCGGACGACCTGCGAAACTCCGACGTAAACGTTGGGTTTGTGCTTCCTGAGTAGAAAAATCCAGGTTTTCAGGGACGCGAACAACAGGCTATGCAGTTTGTTTGGGTACACGTAGACGAATCAGATAATTTTTGTATTTGATAACTTTACGTACAGCTCCGTTGACACTTGGTCGTCTTGCATCCTCGCCTCAATTGCGTTAGGGTTCACTGCATGAATTGTCACAACTCCAGACGTCATTTCTTCTTCTTGCGACGCCTCGTTAAACAACTGCTTAAAGATGTGCATGTTGACATTCCTGCTGTACATCTTCGTCACTATTTCAATGGCTTCATGTAGTTCCAGTGCCAGAAAATGGCACTGTTCTCGCTGCCCAGGAATTCCGCGATGCTCTGCACTTGCGCTACGATCGGAGCCCCTCTGATCTTCCCAGCCACTGTGATGACTGTGGAGAGCGCTTCAGTGTCACTCACGCCCTTTCCTGTACCAAGGGCGGTCTGGTTCTCCAACGCCACAATGAAGTGCGTGATGAACTCGGTGATCTCGCTGCCAAGGCATTCATCCCATCTGCAGTTCGCGACGAACCCCGTATCCAACTTAGTCGCTCTGCAGCTACGGATGCTTCGCCTTCCAGCGACTCTCCTGTAGTTCTCACCCCATCCGAGGAACGAGGTGATCTCCTTATCCGTGGCCTCTGGCAACGCGGAACTGACGGCATAATTGATGTTCGTGTCATCAATCTTGATGCTGCTTCTCACTGTCGCAAGGATCCTGACAAGGTTCTTCGCAATGGCGAACGTGACAAGAAACGCAAGTATCTCGACGCCTGTCTTTCCCAACGCCGCCACTTTACTCCGTTTGTTGTCTCTGCTGATGGTCTCCTTGGGGCCGAAGCTGAGGCACTCACGAAACGTATTTCCGCTTTGCTCGCTGCAAAGTGGGAACGCCCTTATTCAGTGGTGAGTGGCTACATTAATGCTCGGCTCAGCCTAGCTATTCTTCGGGCTCGCCACCTCTGCATGCGTGGCTCTCGTGTCCCTGCTGGCACAATGAGCTACCGTCGTTCTCTCTGGGATGCCGATGGTGCACTTGCACTCTTCCGCTAATTTTGCTCCCTTGTCCTTCCTGGTTTTCCTCCATGCACCCCCCTTCCCTGCCCCCCCTTGTTTTGCCCTGCTCGCGTCCTCATTGCTCTCCCCGTATGCCCACCACACCAGCCCCCCACCACCGCAGCCACTGCTTTGCCTAGCCTCGCCCCCCTCGCTCCTTACCGTATCTATTTAGTATTTATTTTATATATTTCAATGGCCGTATCCTTTGCCTTGTTAGGATTCTTGTCGCGGAACATTTGGAATGGAGTCTTCTTCTTCTTAGCCCTGTGCTTACTCTTGTTTACAGCAACTCTAGAAAAGTTTAAAGCAACTTCTCCGTCGTAGTACCTCATGATATCAGTCTTGTACGTTTCTTCGTCGATCTTAATCTGTTCCCTCATCAAGGTAGTCTCTTCGATAACCTTCGTTTGTCTACAGCTACTAGCAACACAAAAGCAGTGCACGAGAGTACGAGTGGAGTTATCCTCATCATTCTGCTCTCTCCCTGGTGCAACCCCCTCCCATAGTTCCCTTAGTAACCCCTAAAATAAGCCGTGGAGGGCAACGCTACATTGTATCCTACCACAGGTGAACAACTCTGCCCAGCTCCTTTACCATATATTATAATTCTAAAGTTAGATATTTTCCACATGCTGAGCATGATATCAATGCCTTGCGCTCAGCATCCAAGGAACCAACAACGATGGAAACCCTTGCATTCGTGCAGAAATTCGGACGGGAAACCATAGCGTTGCCTTTTGGAGCAACAAGATGCCAAAGTTCTTCTAGTGCTCCTATTAACTCTAGTGATCGATTCGATTCAGTTGACAGGCGGCTACTGCTCAATGGATCAACAAAGACACCTCCACAGAAGCAGGAGTCCTCACCAAGCGGCAGTTGGATCGACTCGACCGCACAATAGCAACAACAATGGCACTTCCACGGATGGACGGATCGATCGTTGACGCACCTACGACAAGCGGCAGCTGAAGCGAATGGTAAGGTCAGTTCATTGGATCGAGCCGTCTGTCATGTAATCAATCCATAGTAGTATAGTAGTAGCCATGCAATATCAGCCAGTGGAAGTCCTCCGTTCGATTTCGATTCATGCTTATAAGGTAGATGGGCTCTGTGCTGTTGTCAAAATATCAAATCAAAAGTTCAATTTGTCAAAGTTGATCAATTTTGATCAACATTGATCAGTGTTGAGTCAAAACAATCCTCAAAAAATCAAAAAAAGAATTGACAGTGTTGACTGATGCTGATTGACGATGATTTTGCTGATTTGCGTCAATTTGTCAATTTTGATGTTGACAGGTGTTGAACCGTTTTGACTGTCAAAAAATCAAAAAATGTCAAAACCAATCAAAATTGAGTTTTGCTTCCAGAATTGACATCAAAATGTCAATTTCACATCAAATGCATCATTTCCCAATACTCCAAGATTATGAATAACCTTGCATTCCATTTTGCATTGGTCTCTGATAGCTGTTGTTGATCCTGTCGATAGCTGTAGCAACCTCTCCAAGATCCACATAGCTATTCGAGTCGTATTCCTTACATGTTAGCACTTATGATCCCCCTCTCCCCCCTCTGTCACCCACTCTTCTCTCCTACCCTCTCTGTCCCTGCCATTTCCAACCACAAAAGCCTACTCTACCAACTTTAACGCCATCTTTTCTTAACACTAAATTTAGGCATCTAGATACAGAAAATCAACTGGCAGCGTTTGGAGAAATAAAAATCTCTAGAAATCTCCTAAAGCCAGTGCATGCTTCGGATACATCTATCTATACTTCAAATGTGAGATCATCAAGCCTCTTGCAGTGATCAGTTTGACCAGGTGGAGATACTTCGTATGTAAGATCATGAAGCCTCTGGCAATAATCTGGTTGACCCAGTGGCCAGTTCCTCACAAGATCATGTGGTACACAGAATGCATCCAACAGACATTCATGTTGGCGACCAAGACTTGAAATGATCTTCTTGATGATTGCCTCCACTGCCTCATGAGTGGCTTTTGAAAGGGCACTCCTCAAGAGGAACCATGCTTCATTCTTCTGAACCCGTTGGAGCGCATCAAGTACACCAATGTCACAGTATAGCTGACCTTGATCCATTTGCTGTTCCAACCAGGTCTCAACACACATGCGATCGTAGACAGCCCCTGCCACTTCCCTCATTTCAAAGCTGTGCTCTGTAAAGGCACGAAACCCTTGGTCTTGTTTTGCCATTAGCTTCTTGCCAACTGTTAGTAGCATGGTTTCTTCGCGAAATATCAGTAGTCTCAAGCACTTCTGCATCAAACTGACAGGATCATCATCATGATCTGATGGGGAAATATGGCGGTTTAGAGGTCGAATAGGCCCAAAGAGCTTCTTCAGGATTGGCCATTCCTTTATTCCCTTCAAGTGATGCCTTACGACTTCCAGAGCCAACAGTGAGTTATCTCCAGCAAACGTCAGTGTCACATCAAGATCATTTCATGCCATGCCAAGCTGGCTGGTGGCTGGAGAATGGCAGGATTCAGTGAAGCGATAGCCAGGAGTAACAGCAATTACATGATTCATCTTGGACTTACCAGCAAATGAGTGGCCTCCACAAAGTTCCCTGGCTTCCTGCGCAGCAGCAAAACTTTCCCAGGATGCAAAGGCTTTGACCAAGCAAGACTCCGCATGGAGCTTCTTTCTGTCTGCTCCAAACTCATAGGGATGGAATGATTCTTGTGCGGCTCTTCCAATCCTGTCCACTGTGGCTTTACCAACAAACAGTCGCACTGCATGGGATATGAGGCGTCTCTGATGCATGGGGTACGATATAAGTGGCACTTCATCCCCATCCGGGCCGAACTGATGGCGAACAGCAGCATAGCTCAGAGCCACATGGATTGCGCTCTTGGCACAGCCAATGGCTGCAGTGGCCACACCAATGCGCTCCAGCACAAAGGTTTGGATAGACCGCAAGAATAAATCACTGCTACTCAATGCAGATTGGAAATCACCGTTTTCATCAACTTGGCAAAAGCGAGACAACAAAGCAGATCGTGGCAATCGTACATGGTCAAAAGTAATGCATCCATTGCCAATGCCATTGCAACCTGCCTTGGCCCCAGTGTCCCTGACATGGATTCCAGGAAAACACTCAGTCTTGTCTTTGTTCTTCCAAAGTGGTACTCGGAGCCAACCAATTCCCTGTTCTTCGCCTTTGACTACCAGGCGGGAAAGTACCACAACGTAATCCGCCACAAATGTGGAGTTTCCAATCCAGTACTTGCAAGCCGTGCTGGAGGGAGTGATCAAGACAACCTCATTGGTCTTGTCGTCAAACTCGGCAATGGTTTGGATTTGCTTGAGATTGGACCCATGAGCGAGTTCCGTGGCACCAAAGCAATAGACGTCTTCGATCTGGTCAATGTTGGTTCGGTTTTCTGCCAGCTGGGAATCATCCCCATGGATGAATACCACATTTCCGCCAATGGCATGGACGCCAACCACATCAAAGAGACTCAAATCGAATAGACCAGCCCAGTGGAAGGCGTCCAATAGACGCATGAATGCTTCAGGTTCGGTGGTGTTACCAGATCCCATCCCCGGTCCACGGCTGATTTGAAAGGCACCCGTTTGGGCCACGAGCTTGAGTCGCTCTTGGGTCAATCGTTGAAAGTCCTTTGGTAGCAATTCCCACTGGGTAGTCTTGTCAAACTCGGGGAGCAAGAGCAAGTCTTTCAGCTCTGGAGGGCTACTGACAAAGGGCTTGGGAATCTTTCCAGTTGTTGTTGTTTGGCTGTCGTTTCCAAGAGCAGCGAGGATGGAACTGTTTGGAGTTGCATTGCTTTCAATGTTGTTGTCTGAATCATGTGTTTTCTCGGATTCTGGATGGTTTTGTTCCTTGCGATAGTAAGAATATAGAGAATGGACTTGGAAGGAAGCATCAAGGATGTCATTGAAGAAACCGGTACCTAGAACAACCCAATCCAGAGTGTTCATGTTGCCATGAGTGATTGCAATGGCTTGGATGTAGGCCGATGATTTCTGAATTCGATCCATGACAAAGACCATCAGTTGGAGTCTGCGAATGGTTCGGACCGGAATTCCAGGATAGATGCTGCGGGTAAAATTGAGTATGTACCCCCAAATATCAGCGGCAAGCCAGAGGACAATTCCACGGAGAAGATAGAGGTTGTATGGACAGTCACAATGAGCTGCCACTAGAATCCAAGTTCCCGTGATGAAGAAGGACACGGTATGATGAACAGTGAAAAAGATGCGGAAGATTGTAAACAACTCCTGATGATGCGCCACGAGCACGATCCATGTCCAGAGGTAGTATCCAAAGTAAACGCTGGTCCAAATCTCTGCGAAAGTGGAAGGACTTGCCAGGAATGTGGCGACGTAGATGATGTTCTGTACAATGCCAAAGCCAAAGTGTAGAGTGACATGGGGGCGCTGTAGGCATGGCAGTGAAACAACCACCACTCTTTCGACTGTATAGCAAATGGCCAAAACAACGAAAGCATTTTGAATGGTTGGCCAAAAGTCTTGTAGTTGGGATGCGGTGCCAAGCCAAAAGGTGGCGCAAACGACGAAGCATACTCCAGTAATGAGCCACAGCTCATCGATCTTGGCGTTGCCGCCTTCCTTGTTGCTGGTTGTTTCGGTTTTCATCTCGATTGTTGGATTTTATGTGCCTTCACTCTGCCTTGCCCTTCCCTTGCATTACGTGCTGAGTAGCGTTGTTGCGTGTTGGCTGTACTGCCGTGAGTAGGAATCGGTTCAACTCAACATGCATGAAAACAACGGATTTATCGCTCCAAGAGCGATAGATTGGGGCCGGAACAGGACCTGACAAGCTCGTCGCGTGAAAATGTGGGATCGGGTACAACGATGCTGTGCGCTGCACATGTACCGGTACCCCGTACGGTACAGTACGTGGCCTATCGTACGAGTAAGGTTGCAAAAAGCTGGCACGTAAAAATTCAATGTGCTACCAGGTAGCTAGCCAGAGCTACACTGGGACCGGTAGCTAGCTAGCCTGTTTAAGATGGGCTCGTTTGGAGTCGTGGATCCGCCGACTCCTACCACTTCTTGGCAAAAGAAAGCAACTCGGAATTAGAGTGAGACGCAAAGTGGTTAAACATACATGTAATATTAGTGGCAGTTTACTGGTCCCGGTGGCAGCACCGGTAGACTGAATAATTGATACCAGTACAATCAGGAGTAGGAACCGTACCATCGGTACCTACAGCAGGAACTGTCACACGATATCGGCCCTCAGATATGTGAGCATGAGCACTAATGCTGGCTCTTTTGGAACCGACGTGCACAAGTCGGCTCTTTTGATTTCAACATTTCTGCGGAGCAGCTACCGGTAGCAGATCGTAAGCCAAAAGACTGGAGGACAGTGTCGAAGAAAAGAAACATCCATGGTTTGACACCGGTTGGTCAATGGTACCGGTACAGTACCGGTAGGATCAGATTTTTCGCTAGGTTGCTGAGTTGCTGACGAAAGCAAACAACCTGGCAGAGCCTATCTTTAGAAAAAGGCAAAATTGCATACGGTGGCTCTATTTTCGATGGAGCTGGCTGGGTGGGAAGTCAGTCTGATCATTGTCATACGCGTTGTCACTCTGAGGAAATGCATCGCATCTGCTTTCTGACAATGCATGGCGAGATCATGATGCGGAGGGCCTGTCACCATTATTTTGACCCTAATGTTCTATGTGGGATTCGATTCGATTCGATTCGATTTGATTTGATTTGATTCGATTCGATGCGATGCGATGCAACATTCGAATGATTCGATTCAATCGTTCTATCCGAACAGTACCAGGGGAAGTCACACTCGGAGCCGAGTGAGTAAGCTTGAAGGAGATCCAAGAATTTCATAGCTTACCCCCGTGTGGGTCTGAAGTATAACGTCTAGTTCTGTTTGCGTTGAAGCTAACGGTGTGAAAGTACGTAAAACATTAAGGTGGTGGAGAATGTGGTGAACAGATTTTTTTAGGGTTAAGATTCTTTTGCTGCTGCGCTGCCTAGCATATGTGTGACTCCGTCATTTCTTAGTTTTTTGGTTTGAGTCTTTGAATTTGGTTTGAGTGTTTGCACAAGATATGGATACAGTAGTGTTGTCTGGGTGGTAACAATTCCAGTCAGGACCTTAGGAATGTTACCATTTTTGAATCCTATGCCCAGTGGGCATGAGTTTCAGGGACGGGTGAATGTGATTGTGTAAGCATTTTTGTGGAGCATGGGTTGTTAGAGGCAAGTCAAAGCACACCATCAAACGAAAACCAAACCAAAACCAAAACCAAACAAAAGATGGAAAAGAAAGTAATAAACTGCCAAACCAGACTACCAAGCCAAATACATTATCTTTCGAATCTGGTGCCCATTGGGCATGCTATTCAATAACCTTAACCCTATTACTTCAATGTACCTTAAGTCCACATTTCTATGCAGTCATAGTTCATCTTAAGTACGTCTTGCCACCATCTACTTGAAGGCAACTTGCAATAAGTCTATAAAAAGCCTTAGTTTGACCAGTAACTGTTTTCCAATGGCATGCTCTTACTATTATATCATCATGTATATTATATAAATCTAAGTAATGAACATGCTTGCCTAAGTAAATATCCAAGTTTTGCCTATGTCACATTTTGGATAAAATGTATCTATATCTGAGGACTTTTATGCATTACATAGGACACTTGCCTTTTTGGCTGGCTTTCTGCATTAAATTTCTCCAGCTACTAAGATACGGGTAATGCTCGATTCAGCTGAAATGCCAAAATGCTACAAAATTAGCTAAATACTCAAAATCAAAATGATAGTTCTAGGCGCCACATCACCAGACAGACCCACACGGGGTTGATTAATAAAATTAAACCCGCTACTAGTACAAGGTACGTGTACTAGCTAGTACCACGATGCATTGAACCAACATGCTACGAAAAGGAGCCTCGTTGATTCATCAAACAACGCTCACAATACAAGCTACTCCGGCGAAAAAGTTGAGAATTTTGAAAATGGTGAGAATTCGCCTGGAACACTGTGGAATCACCAGGTGGTCACACTTTTGAAATTATTTACTCCATAATAGTTAAGTCTATCCTTCGTAGGGATGCACATTAGACGGGCTTGTGCGTGGTTTCATCTAGCTGGTCTAATTTGGATTTTGACTGGAGTCATCGGTTTGACTTTCGCTCTATTGGAACTATACTATAGGACCAAACAGTACTCTAATAGTACATCTCAATCGAAAAAGGCCAAAGCAAAGACTGCACAGATGGTTCCAACGCAGACGGTTCGATGATCTAGTGAGCCGGCCAGTCGGGCCAAAACGTATTCAGCAACCGGTACTGGCGAAGAAAGGAAGCATTCGCATTGTGATGTGACGTTCACTTGCTCACAATAATGAGGTGCGCACCCTTTTTACGGCTACAAGTACACCGAACGCAACTGTTGCCTTTCATTGGATCGAGATCACTCTCCACAACAACAACGGCAAGAACGATGGTTAAGAAGAACTACAAGAAGGATTCTCCGGTGGAGTTCGTTCGCAGCAAGTACAAGGGAATGGAAGGTGTGTTTGCTGGAAAGGCAGGAGCCATGAATAGAGTTTGTAAAGTAGTTAAAATTAACTAGTGGGAAAAAGGTGACTCTCTGGTATGGTTCGATCGCTCCTTTGATCAGCCCTACTGAAAGGATCCAGCGATTGGAGCAGCATGTTACTCTTCTCAATGCCAACGTGCGACTTCTCTTCGACCACACCAGCGAAATCAGTAGCACCCTCATGCGATTTCTGGATGAACTGGACGACGACCACTAGAGTAGTAACAATAAAATAGTACTCTACGTATTTTTAAAACACTACTGCTTATTCTTCGTATGGCCGCGACTGGCCTTCTTTTCAGTTAGATCGTGTGCTTGCATGTATTCTTTCATCTTGGAGATAGAGCCCTTGCACTGCTTTTAATATATATCTTGCAATGCAAGGCGCACATCATGGTCTGATTTGTTGTGGATTTTTGCATAAGCTCGAATGCCGGTGATGATGGCCTTGGTTCTTGACAGGTGTGCACCTTGCGCCTTCGACCAATGCAGTCGCCATTTATTTTTCCAGTGCAGCTCACGCCCTTCTACACCATTCAACTCACACTGGAAGTCACCGCGGCCAGTCCACTCATCCAGCATTGCTAAGAGAGTGGTGTGCTTAGGCCGCATGAAGAAGGACTTATTGGGCTTGGTGACCCCAATCATTGCACCGAGTTGCATCTCTTTTGCTGTGTATTGTTCTGTAGCTACCCTCGTTGCACCAACTTGAAGTAAAACATCGGCTGCTTCCATCTGCTCCATGTTGCCGTAATTTCCATTATCCACCTCCATTATAGGATCATCAATAGGAGCAACAAATCCGGTGGCTTCCAAGTCGTTCTCCAGTTGTGTGGGGGCAACTCGGCTGTTATTGATTGTTGTGTCATTGGCCATAGTACCGGCAGCTGTTGCCTCTTGTAAAAGCTCCGTGAAATCTTCCTCCTCTCTGTTCCTAATTGCTTGTGCTCCTCGCTCTAGAAATTGAGCTAGTTGCTCATCGCGAAGCAGGTGACGGCGCTCGTTGGTATGGGTGAAAGCTATTAGCTTGTTGATCCCCCCGGTCAAAACCTCTGCCACAGTATCAAGCTTCCGGCTGACCTGCCTGATTTCGGCATTGTTAGCTGAATGCCACTGGTGCACTCCAGGAAGCACTCGCTGTAAGTCGGCATCTGCAGGGTTCTGTGCAGTCTCCAGGGCCACTCTCATTTTTTCTTTGTATGCCTGACCGAAGACGCAAGCCAAAGCACAATTCTAGATCCTCGAGATTTGGAATCACCCTTTTCGGACGCACACTGACTCCAAGATTAGTACTGTTTATTCTATAGTAAATTCGCCGTTTCCACAGCCACCCAAAAGAAAAAGAGCCACCATGGCGCCTTGTGGTCCATTTCGGCAACGAACGACGGCTAGTAACAACAAGATGAGCTTGGCTAACAACAAGAAACACTCTGGACAACAACGACAGCCGTTGGCGCCGGCAGCAGCGGTCGGAAAACCATGGAAATCGAAAGAGGATGGCAGCTTCGCCATGGAATTTCGTACGGATGACCGTGACAGAAACAAACAGAAAACAGCCAACGACTTTGTTGATATCCCTCTGAACAAGAAAACCACTCCACGGAAGCAGGCGCTTCAGCACCCACCAACGCCGGGGACTACAACTACCAAATCCCACTTTGCGGGGAACCAATTCTTCCTTCTGATGGACCAAGATGATAAATGGCTTCAACAAAACAATGACCGCGATGAACGACAAGATGATACGTCCATTGCTACACTTGCTACCAATGGAACCGACTCTATCGATGCCTCCGCTGCCAACAACACCCCACTCAGGATCAATGGAAGGAGCAACGAATCTGTTCCATCACTTATTCGCTCCAAACGCACCCGTCGAACTAAACCACCAACAAAAATTGACCCGATACCCCTCCCCTTGCCCCCGGTTCTTGTCATGACTGTCACGACACCGGTTGTGTGGGAGACAACGCGATGCAGTGGTCACAAACCCAGGAAAAACAGATCAATCAATCAACAACACAAACAAAAACGAAACCAACAACAAAATAAAATTGTGAAGGCAATCGATCCAATGTCCAATGACGATGCATCATGGCCGCCACTGGAAAGGTCAGGAGAACAACAACCAGCGAGCAACGGCATAGTCAACCACACTACATCAGGAACAGAGACAAAGTCCGGTCTACTGCCCTCTTTCAATCACACAGCTGCAATCCTACACCGACACAACAAAGCAAATGAATGGCCGACTATAAGACACTCGATCTCTGCTGCAACTGGTGGTACAACGAAAGCGACAGTGGAAGGTTCGAAGCCCTCCGTTGGCAGCGGTAGCAACAAGAATACCATCAAACACTCAGACACACAGCCAACCCCAACCCGATCCAACAACAGATGCCCTCTATCTACTGATCGAAGGAATAAAAAGAGGAACAAGTTTCGTCTTAAGAAATCGATTCAGGAATTCCTGCGCCACCACGCAGATACATCCAACAGCGAACTGAACGATGACAACTGTTCGATTATGCATAGTGCAACTACCCATACTGATTCGGAAAATCTGCACAGCTCTACAACACCTACTAGCAATGCTGAAAATCCCATCGATCTGATTTCTCCTACTGTGACTAGCAGCCAGAATCAAAGTCACATCCCACCGACTATGCCGGTGTGGTGTCTCCACTGCAATGCTCCAGCTTTTCCCATGAATCGCACCCAGGATACATACACACTCGAAGCAGCTGATGATCCGACACACTATTGTTCCACGTGCAAACAGTTCATTCTATTGAAAGAGTCCTTAGCAGTGGACAAGCGCTCAGACTCTCCACTTTCTATGTTGCTTTCCCCAAGCAAGAACAATCAAACAACTATTGAGGATGCCAGTATTACCACTCTGACTGATGAAGATATCGAAGTAGGAATCAAACATCTTCAGGCCACCGCGAGGAACCAGGAAATGAAGGATGCTTCTGTGGCAACAAACCAACTGGTTGATGACACAATTGTCATTGAAGTTCCTCACGAGGTCTCACTTCCTGTCAAGCAACTTGCTCCTCTCCTTGACACCGTCGCTATTACTGAACCTAAGCATCAACCACATATCTTGGAAGCATCCACTATCAACAGCACTGATGACCCGACTGAGAGTCTATCAATTACTCCGCATTCAGTTGTACATAAACCATCAGATCAACTTCCAGTCACTACGGACATCCAAAGTCACAGCTCTCAGCGCTGCTTCTGTCAACAGCTATCGATCTCTAGACCATCAAGACCATTGTGTTCCTCTGCAAGTGAAGGCAGATCCAGCAAAGATACTCACTTATCTTGAAACAGAACTAGCAGTCCTTGTTCCCACGACCCAGCCAATGCCACTGCTCTGTCTGTGTTAGGAACTCCCTTCTCAAGCTACAGAAAACCCACTGTCCATTGCCTAGAGAGATTCACCAGAGAGCAAAGTCCTGGGTCTACTGAACCAGCTCCTGATACTGATGTTCCCTCGATCCCAGGCTTATCACCATGACCATTCAGGACCAAGCAAGATGCCGCCACTGCTTCACGTGGGCTGCCAATCCCATGGCTCTTGATGCGGATGAGAGCGCAAATGAATCCAACACCAATGGCAACCAGGATGACACAATGGAAGTGTGGTGTCATACCATAGCATTGAACGCGAGACTATCTGACGCCAGGAGGACCTCTATGGCTCTACGGGAGATTCGTAGGGTACCAGAACGTCATCTCCGGTCATACTCCTAGAGATCGCCAAGAGAGACTGAGTGCGGTGGTCTCAAGAGTGAGTGCTGTACCTGCACACTATACTTCTTT